CCACACCCCCACCCACCCATCCCCCCACCCAGCCACACCCCACGCCAGTGATGGGCGAGTCCGAGTCAAAACTCGGACTCGAGTCGACTCGAGTCACTTTTTTTAATGACTCGCACTCGACTCGGACTCGGAAATTGAGAAGCGTTGACTCGACTGTGTGACTCGAGTCAGCCACTGAAAAAATTTTGATTCGCTTTTAATTAAAGAAATCACAATTTATAAGATTAAAGTTTCACTTAGTAATTTTCTTCCTAATTTATAACTAAAAGGAGAAAATCTATATGATGGCACAACATAACGAAAAAATCTATGCTGGACTCACAGAATCCAAAAATTCGTGTGACGTCGTCGAAGAAAAATTACAACGTATAGAAATGAAAGCAGTATCAGCAAAAGTAATACATTTATATAAAATATAACATATGATTTGTTTTTTTCATAAGAATAATACAGTAATTGAAAGCTTAATAATCTCATTGGGTAGAGCAGTAAATATAAATGAGTAGATAAACGAATAAATGACTGCTATGAAGTATATAGAATTTTTTCAAAATTCAAGGTTCTTTTATTTATTTCAAGCTTTCGATGATCACTGTGACCATTATCAAGAAAAAATTATAAGACAAAATTAAGCGAAAAAAAAATATCATATATATATATGATGATTTTGACCGATAGAAATAGACAGAAAAGAGCATAATTTTCTTTGCTGTCTGTTTTGTTCTTTTCTGTCTATTTGTATCGGTCAAAATCATCTGATATATATATGATAGTTTTTTTCTCGTAATTTTGTCTTATAATTTTTTCTTGATAATGGTCATAGTGATCATCGAAAGCTTGATATTGCATTTTATATAATTATCATATTAACTATCACATTATTATATAATCGTGTGTATAAAATATATTATTGAATAAAAAGCATTTTGGTTAATATATAAATTTATTAAAATTAATTAAATTTTTCAAATGTCAAATTCTGCCAGTTCATCAACAACATTTGGTTGTTCAAGTTCAACGAATAATATAACTGAATTAAAGCAATCTGTTGTGAAAAATTTTTTTATTGATGTTCAAGCAAGAAAACCAAATTCGTGGTATGGTAAATGCTCAATATGTTCACAAGGTGTTGCTGATACATATGGCACCACGTCTAATTTTGTACGACATATGAAGACAAAACATGAAAGTGAATATGAAGAATGGTTAGCTAAGAAAAATATTAATCTTGATACAAAACAACGAAATATTGATGATATGATAAAGCAAAAAACAAATAAATATTCATCAATTAATCCAAGACAAGTTAAATTAACTGAATCAATAATAAAAGATTTAATAATTGAATGTGGTGTACCATTATCATTAGTAGAACAAAATGGTTTTAAAAATTTCATGGAAATAGTTGATCCAATGTATTCACTTTTAAGTCGTCGACAATTAACTTATGATAAACTCCCAAAATTATATGATAAAATGATTATGAAATTAAAATTAAACACAGATCTTAGTACTTAGAATTTATTAGCTC